ATATTTGAGGATGTTTAAAACTTACTTTCTTAGTTGAACTTAATATTTTAATTAAAAGTTATTCAAGCGAGGAAATAAAATTAAAAATAACTGTTCAGCACAGATCATAAATATAATTAGACAAGGTGAAGTACTAGCTTTATGTATTTCAGAATAGGGAGAAACCCCACGATATTTACTTTAGTATCTAGTGAAGTGAGGAAAATTTAGAGGGACTAGGAATCTAGTGCAATATTGAGTTATGTATTTATCTGAGCTTAGTTCCTCCTTCATCATACTAGAAATCACAAGGCTAGACTGAATAAATAAACTATAAATTATGAAGTCTTTAGCATTTAAAAAGATAATTTAAATAAAATGATTTCTTTACTTCTTTCTCAAATAAATTAATAGTTTCATCTAATAATTCTACAATTATGAATTAATTCAAATTAAATTGTTATTTTTTCTTTTATGACTAAAGAATGAATGTCATTTTTGTTTGTTTGTTAATTTGCCATTAACAAAATCTTACAATATATATATATTTTTTTAATTTTATAGACACAGATAGATCTTTCAATCCTTAGAAAATAATGGATATTTTATAAAGAACGTAATATACTACAAAATCCGTACAAGCTTCTGATTAAAAAGGAAATTTTTTTAATAATAAATTAGAATTAAACCATTTTGCTATTTTTTTTCATTTATTTTTTCTTCTTTTGTGTTATGGTTATCATCTGTATTATTTCTGAATTACACATTATAAATTAAATAGTAAAATTGCAGTCATATTTTAAATATAGAATAAATATAAGAAATTTTTTTAATTGTTAATAGATATTATTTTAACCAATAACATAAGCTCATCCTTCTTAATTAAGTATGCAACTCAAGAAAATTAAGAAATTAACTATCATTTTGAAGGTTAAAAGTTTTCAAATTTTATATTATAATTGGTAAGATTTCAATTATGTAATCTAAAATTTATTCTGCAGTTTAGCAAGGTTTAAGATTTTAAATATACAAATGCGCAACATATTATTTAATAAATTAACTATTAATTAAATTTTCAGAAAATTATTGTAATACATACTAGCAATTCTAAAAAAAAACATTAGGTCTGAAGGGAAGAATGATGTTATAGGAAATTAATATATAAGATGAATACTACTGATTCAATCAAAAAGTCAAATTATGCTCCAACCTTGATTTTCAGA